AGCTGCAGGAGAGCAGAGCGAGGAAGGGCATTGTCAGCTCTGCCAATTCCCCCATCCTCTGCTGCACACCCCACATTTCAATTCACTCTGTGTAGGATATTATGACTGGAGAGAGGTATAAACTAAAGTTAAATAGAACTCATGCTTCTCTCAAAATCAGAAAGACCAAGAAAAAGCGAAGTCTAACCAAGTTTGTTTTAACTTAGACACTTCAAACTGACATGAAGTTAAGTCTTCAGTTACAAGAGGTGGAAGCTATTAAAGAAGTCATCTTTTCAGCTGGCAATTTGGTAGCTGAAATCAAGGGGTTTTTTGTACCTTCAAAGTGAGTAACTATCTGCTGATCTCATCTACATTCTGTCTCTTGCAGCGGTTAAACTCACATCACTCTATGTAAAATATGTCACACAAGGTCATGCTTGTGATAAAGAAGTTACTTTAACACGTTTCTCTGTCCAGAGTCATGTCAGACACTGAACAAGAAAGAGGCATCTGAAGACCAGATTCTCCCTTTAATCTTCTCCAGTACAAAGGCAATATAAAAGGTTTCTGGGAGATGCTGCAGATGTCTTATGAAAATAGTGCTTTAATGCCAGCAGTGCTCACCTTGCCCAAAACTTAACGGTATGAAGTTAAACAAATTGTTGCTATGTTAATGCTCTTAAAAATCTACCACACTTATTTAAGGAGATCTGAGTGTCCCTAAAGCAGTTTCATCTCAGAGAAATTCCACATTCTTGTCTAGGCAGCTTGTTCAGTTAATACTGTTTTGACAGTTACAGTTTAAATCAAATTTTATGCTTTTTATATCACTGCTTTTATTTTATCTTCACAGAAGTCTAAGGTTCAAACATACACGATGTAACCACAAGCCATGTAATTACTTAACTAGCACTACATAGTCATACAAACTCAGTGTGCTTTCCAAATCCAACCGGCTACCTGCTGTGTGCTTGGCCATATAAGGTTCATCACTTAAAAATATGCCACAGCAGAATCAGAAAGAGATGATACAGCCACATGCATGCGGCACGCAATCTCACCTGTGTCTACATTAAAGTTCTTTATCAGACTACATTCCTTTTCCTGAGCAGCAGGATCTTCCCACTGGTCTGCAAAGCCAATTATCTCCAATACGTGCCAACGCATCCAGTAAGTCCGACCTGTCGACTGCCATAAAACCTGTGGGTGAAACAGATCTAGATGATCAGATTTGCTCACTTGTTCAATCTTCACACTACATTTGTCCGTCCTCCCGTTTCCCAAATGCATGGAGACAGCCAGCACCGTTCAAGTAGAAGATCACAAAATCTCTATACAGATTTCAGCACACACATTGTCTGGTTTTGAGACACACCATCTTTACAAACTTGTTGCCCTGGTTACACCTAATCTTCATTTTTTAAAAACCATCAGCTTTGCCTGCAACCACTACAGATCTCATCTAGGACAGGAACAGTGGCACAAGTGCATCTAGTTAATCATGCCTGTGCCAAAAGTGCCAAGCAGCAGGTGCCTAGGAAAAAGCATACAAAGGAAGAACGTAACCAACACTACCTCAAGACACTTTTATACCTTGGTCATTCACCACCCCTCTCAAACCATTCAGGTCTGGTTTTGTCAATAATGTGAGACTTAAAGATAACTGTTACTGAAAATAAACCTGGATGGAACAACTGCAAATTCATTCAACCTACTTAAACAGAAAAACAGAAGAAGAGGGAACTTGAGGGACCAACAGGACAAGGGGAATGGAATTTAACAGTACACTTCAGCTCAACACTGAATTAAAAATCCTTTGAAATTTATGCCACAGCAACAGGAGAAAAATGCTAAAGGATCTTAGTGCTCTTTTCAAGTGCCCAGTTACACTAACAGCAAGTACAAGTTTATAAGAATTAGAAATTGGAATTTTAGGAAAACACATATATTAGAAATCAAGAAGCTTAAGGACAAAAAGAGAATCAGCAAGAAACACATTTCCTTTGCAATTTATCTTTATGGACTGGGTTACAAAAGACAAAAGGTTTATACACCACTTAAAAATAAGATGCAAAACAATTACTCAGCTGAGGGGTCCTGAAATGAAAAATCACCCTGCATGGTCCAAAACTAGAAGAGTCTTACTGAGGCACATGGAGGACAGGAAGGTGATTCAAGACAACCAGAATGGCTTTACCAAGGGCAAGACCTGCCTGACCAGCTTAGTGGCCTTCTACAACGGAGTGAGCACATAAGTGGACAAGGGAAGAGCTACAGCTGTCATCTCTCTGGACTTCTGTTAAGGCCTTTGACATGGTCCCCACAACATCCTCCTCTTTAAACTGAAGAGATACAGATGGATTATTCAGTTCATGAGGAACTGCTTGGATGGTTGTATCCAGAGGTTAACAGCTCAACATCCGGATGAAAATCTGTGACAAGTGGTATTCCTCAGGGATCTGTATTGGGACCAATACTGTTTAACAGCCTGGAGGATGAAGGGATTGAAAGCAGCCCTGTGAAGGATTTAGCAGCACTGATGGATGAAAAGCTGGACATGAGCTGGCAATGTGTGCTCACAGCCCCCAAAGCCAATCATATCCTGGGCTGCATCCAAAGCAGTGTGGGCAGCAGGTCAATGGAGGTGATTCTGCCCCTCTGCTCTGGTGACACCCCACCTGGAGTGCTGCATCCAGTTCTGAAGTCCTCAGTACAAGGCATGGAACTGTTGTAGCAAGTCCAGAGGTGGGCTGCAGAAATTATAAGATGGATGGAACACCTCTCCTATGAGGAAACACTGAGAGAGTTGTGGTTGTTCAGCCTGGAGAAGAGAAGGCTTCAGGAAAACTTTATAGTGGCCTTTCAATACTTAAAGGGGGCTTGTAAGAATGATGGGGACAGATGTTTTAGTAAGGCTTGTTGTAATAGTACAGGGGTAATGGTTTTAAACTGAAAGAGGGCAGACTTAGACTTGACATAAGGAAGAAGCTCCTTACAACAACGGTGGTGAAACACTAGAACAAATTGTGCAGAGAGGTGGTAAGTCCCATTCCTGGACAAATTCAAGGTCAGTTTGGACAGGGCTCTTAGCAACCTGGACTAGTTGAAGATGTCTCTGCTCATTGCAGGGGGTTGGACTAGATCCCTTCTAACCCAAATTGTTCAATGATTCCTCCCCCTCCTCAAGCATCGAAGCCTCTTCCCTGAACTGTGGCACAAACTTTGCAACTCAGCTGCAAATACACAGGTCTAACAGCTCTTTGCAACACAAACGCCCACTTGAGGTCTGTTCACCTAAAGGGCAGTCTTAAAGGGAAACAGATCCCAGCATACACTCGCAGACTAAAAGCAAGACCTTCAGGGGCTGTTTTCAATCCACTGAGAACAACAACATGCCCCAAGTACTGTCACTCTCATACCAAGACTTAAGACCTTCAAGTACCTTTTGCTGTGCTATTCATTTGTGTCAGCTAGCCTGTTCCCAAACCAGGGCTAGGGACTGTTCCTAGGAGGCAGGCTATAGCCACCTGTTTTAGAGGCTAAGAAATCTTAGCAACACAGCCCACACTAAAGCAGACTACCTTTCCTCTAAACCCACACCTGCAGTTCTGAAAGCTGAGCTTTTTGCTAGGAGAGATGCAGACACTGTTCCAATTATGCTATGACTATTGCCCAACTTCCTGCACAAAAAGACATCATTAGGAAATTATCAGTCACCCCAGACACTCCCCTCTGCCATCCCAGCCAGAATAACATACGTACCTGCACTGTGTGCATACTATTAGTGCTCTGAAGAAACTCGCCTTCCTCCCCAGCTCTAACATCACCACAGTCTTCGAGCAAGCGCACCCTCATGCCACGCACCAAGTTTGCCTGCAAGTACTCCACATAGTCACTGCTGTTTGCAAAGTCTGATGGGGTCAGGAAGGTACAGCCCTGCTTGTTGTGGGGACGGTGACGTGAAGTGAACACAGGTATTTGGACAGCAGTGCTGGTTGGGGTCTTGTGCTGGAAGATGGAGCGGGTGGCACGAGGCTGCGGCATTTGCTGGGGTGGCAGCTCCGGCTTGTGGCTGTGTTTCCAGCCCATCATGTGCACCAGCTCTGAGATGAGGTTTGCCATGGCCATGCTGAACTCAAACTCCTGCTTCACATGGCTCCTCTCCACAGGCAACGGGCTGGGCGCAGCACAGCCCTGCTGCTCTTCTCCCTGCTCCACACCGCTGCTCAGTTTGTCCAGGAGAGAAGTGACACGCAGGTAGTGCTTCACCAGGACAAACAGCAGCTTCCCAGGGATCTGCAACAAGCACAGCTGTCAGACTCCAACCTGCAGAGCACCTCCAGCACCAGCTCTCACCAAGCCATCAGCTCATCCAGTCAGGCTTCCATGAGAGCTCCGCACCAGCCAGCAGCAGCCGCATCCAGTCAGGCTTCCATGAGAGCTCCTCACCAGCCAGCAGCAACAGAGACCTCTCAGCCCAACCTCATGTCCCTGATCAGACAAAGCTCTCCACGTGCCTCTCCTCCACCCCCAGCCTCAAACCGGGCCCAGATCCTGTGCCAGATCTTCCAACAGCCAGTCCTGCTCAGCTGCCCACCTCCAACCATCCTCTTGTCCCAAACAAGGACACCAGCCCTGGCCCTCCTCTCCCACTCCCCCGGCCCCTAAAGCCCACAGGACCAGGGCTGGCAGGACCTGCCACTACCTGTGGAAGGTGAATCCCTTCAAAGGACATGCAGTGCTCTTCAGAGGATGTTATCTCAGCAAACAGCTCCAGCAAGGTGCAGCGACTGTCAAACTCCATGTGCTGTTCAATGCCATCCTGCTGGCTCAGGGACAGCAGGACATAGGCTCGACTCCCTGCAACAACAAAAACTCCTTGGGCCCCATAAGGACAACCCTCACCCCACCCTCCCTGCATGAGCAGACCCACAGGCAAGGAACAGCTTTGCTGCTCAGTGTCACCACATTCTGTCCTTTAATCTAGAGCAGCAACATTCTGCTCCACAATGTATTTTTCTACCCCTAAAGATGATTCCCCCAAAGCTGCAACCTCAAAGAACTGATTCCAGAATAGGGTCCCAGGGAGGAAAAGAGTTTTAACTTGAATCAGCCCCCATCTGCCCCACTTCAGAGCCATATGAACTCAGGCACTAAGACAGGGATAGGCACGCCTCTTGTGGGATATAGCACAACCAGCAACCTTCCAGGTGCACCCAAGCCTCATCAGGCACTTTCAAGCCATGGCAGCTCCTCTCAAATTGAGAAAATTCAGTGAGGACCAGCCTCTACCCACCAGGGTTCTGCCAGTCTCCTTGGCATTGGTTGTTATTGCAAGGGAATGTGGAAAGAGACTATGCTCCTTTAAGTGCATCCAGTCAAAAATCCTTGCACTGCAAAAAGTGAAAGTAAGAAAGCCATAAACAGGAACATAAAGAATCACAAACCTCACTGACATGCTAATGGAGGCAATGAGTAGAAATAAATCTGGTCAGTCATGCTAATTAATAAGGGCATCTGCAGGGTGAGAATGATTATTTTTTCAGTAAGATTATCTGACTAATTGGAATTGGCAAGGAACACAAAAGGGGGTGCACAGAAAGGAATATAAAAGGGCCCAGTCATGCTTAAACCATGGCTGGTCAGTGCACTTGTCTGACAGACCTGTACCTGACTGACACAGTTTGTCCTACTTTCTTACATCTTCTTAGCAAACCTTTTCAAACTCTCTCTGTATCCCATGTGTGTGTGTGCTGCAAGGACCGAGTGCCAGCTACTAGTGAGACTTGTGTGAATGGCATTTGGTACCAGGAACTGGAGCCTGAGTGGGGCTGTGGGAGCCCTGTGGTGTCAGCAAGGTGGGGCAAGTGAGGGTCCTGGCCTCAACAGCTGGAGGTGCCATCGCTCTCTGGATCTGGGGAGGATCTCACAGATTTGAGCCTGGAGTGACAGCTAGCGGCAAGACTGGCATACAGTGGACTGGGTACAAGCCACCCGAGTTTGATCAGGGGTGTAGGTGTCCCTGGCCTAAGGTACCAGATACTGCAGCAAGCGCAAGGGTCTCAGTGCTAGTGATTGGACCGGGTGCGGTCCTCAGCCATCAACCACTGGGGACAGAAGAGTGCATGTCCCAAAAAACAGCTACTGCAAGGAAGGCAAGAGAGGAGTTCAGCACCAGCAGCTCAAACAGGACTGCAGTGCCTGCTGCCAGGGAGGAAAGGCGAGTGTCTGTATCTTCTCCAGTCCTGCTGTGCATGAGATGTGCATGTAATTTGGTAGCAAATCTTCACGCTGGATTAGCTGTCAAGTAGGAGAACCTGGGTCCAGACCAAGGTATGAGGCAGGTGGTGGTTTGTGCTGGAAGTCCAAAGAGACTTGTGAATGTGAACTGCGGGAGGGACAAGTGTCTGAGTGCTATGTGTTTGCTAGCAAGCATCAGGCTTGACCAACTGATGAGTGAGGGATCCCTGAGGCAGGGGTGGGAGGTGGCTTGGGTTCAGGTACAGGTGCAGGACAGACAGACAGGCCATGCTGATACCCAAGGGATCTATGAATATGTGTGTACTTGTGAACCTGGAGAGTGCAGTGTGTGCTGGCAGAAGTGACCTTCTGTCTCTGCCAGACAAAGACCAGGAGGGGACATGGCTGTCTGTGCTTGTGCTTATGTGAGTCCTATAATTACATGCTCTTGAAGGCAGCACCCTGTCTGTGGCTAGTCATGTCAGACTGTTGTGTTTGTGCTCAGCTTTGCTACTGGTTGAACCTGCAAACGGGAAAGTGGTAGCTGCATCTCTTAGCCTGAGGAACCCCAGATTCCCTGGGCTGGGTTCCAGTGGTGCAGCAGGAGAGGTGCTGGAGCTGCTGGAGGGGACAGCCATCCCTAACATTTCTCAACACTCTTAACAGTTAATGAGCATCCCAGCTCAGAAACCTGTCAGGGGAAAAAGTTTCTTAGAGCACTCCAGACAACTACAACCAAGGAAGTTTGCACGATCTAGACTGACTCTTTACCTTTTGCCACCAAGCCCTGAGACATGCTGCTTCCCAGGCATCTCAGCCCTACAAAAGGACTGGCACCCCTCAGCTGCCCAGCAGCACCTCCTCAGTGCTCGGAGCAGCAGCAGCCCCCACCTGCATCGTGAGAAGCCAGGGCCCGCAGCATCTGGCCAGCACTGTGGCGGATCTGCTTCTCCTTGTGGCACAGGAACTTCATCAGCAAGTCCATGGCTCCTGTCTCCCTGAAGGCACTTGCCAGAGGGCCAATGCTGGCATAGGCACTCAGCACGTGGACAGTGTTCAGGACGGAGGACTCGGGCGTCCCAGCCTCGGCCACCTGCCGCACAGCTCGCTGCACCAGGCTCCTGACATCAGCCTTCATCTCCAGCAGTGACGCTTCGTCCAGCGGTACATCTGCAGCCGATCTGGATGTCTTCTCCTCTTTCACCCACAGCCCTTCCAGCTTCCTCTTGCCCAGCAGTGATGGACAGCTGGCACAGACCTCTTCTGCAGACATCCACATTGAGATGTTCTCTGGCTTGGTCTCTGCACAGGAGGCACTGCTGCCTCCCACTGCTCTCTCCTCCACGCTGACCACACTCCACTGGATGAGGTATTCAGGATGGCCGTCGTGGCCTCGCCGCTGTCGGAGGATTTGCTCTGGGTAGGCCTGCAGTTTGGGTCCCAGGTGCACCAGCAGGTTGCCATTGTGCCTCTCATTCACCATGGCAGCAGGTGT